GTTATAGACATGGGCATGGGCTGGTTCGGGCCGATTCACTCCGGTTCATGGTTCACTCTGGTTCACGCTTCACTCCAGTTCCGGGCCGGTCCGAAAGTTTATTAATATATATAACTTTTTGTTTTGAAAATACTTGATGGATAAATAAATTAAAAAGAATTACTTTTAAATAGGAAAAAAAACAAAAGAAAATAAATGAAAGGACTTTTAACTTAATTTTATAGGAAAAAATGGGGTGTGAGGGTATTTATTGGAAAAAAAATGGGGGGGGGGGGAATTCAAAAAAGAGCAAATAACGGTCGGTTCAGCTTTTTTTGCTTGAAATCCCGGTAAACCGCCGGGCAGTTCACATAATTCCAGAACCGGGCCCGTCCCGAGGAACATGGGCCAGTTCACGGTTCCGGTACCGGTTTACCGGTTTACCGGTCAACGGGCCGGTCCGGTTCGTCAACAGGCTAGTTCCGGGCCAAAAACCGGCCCATGCCGTGTCTATTTAGTTATGCTCTATTCTTTTTCTTCGAATTGATTTTTTTTTTGTTTTTTTATTACTTCTGAGTTTGAGAACTAATTTTTAAAGTGTTTCGATAATGAGTTTATTTGCTCTTTAACAGTTTATTTTTTTATTATTATTAAACACTTTAGAATAACTTATAAGTTTTTTTTAACAAATTATAGTTGTAGCCAAATACCTTTATAATGTTTTACTTTCTTTTTCAATTATATGTTATTTTTAAATTCTTATTTTATATTTTCCCCGTAGGCCGTGGCGAGGGGTCAAAAAACTTTCCCGTAATTTAAGTCAAAATAGGTGGAATCCACAAACAAGAGTATAAGACTCAAGTAAGATAAGATGATCAAACATATACCTAATAAATTACCAACTCAACCTCAAGCATCAATCAATACATGAACCAAAACAAAATGTGTGGAGTAAGTAATTTACTAGGGCTTTAGTTATTCAAAAAATGGCCTTATACCCGATTTTACAACACGCACCCAGAGGAATTTGAACAGTCATGCTTCAGTCTCTCACCAAATTTCTGTACAAAAACGCTTCTCGGGATATTCAAACAAAACTCCGTTGATAATTTTATCGGTGTACCAGTGGATTAATATTTGCGATCTGAAATAAGTTGAGCATATAAATCAAGTACGTTGTGATTGCAAGGTACTATGATAATGACTCGAACCGGGTGAAAAGTATATTCGTGCAGACGGAAATGAAAAGGAGGAAAAGGATATATTTGGAGAAAATTAACAAATAACAACCGAATATTAACTAATAAAAAACACATCACAACCCAAAATTAATTTATAGAAAAACATGTCACATGGAGCCGCTCGAAAGATAGAGGTACGCTAGGGTAAGTATTTATACTATAAGTCTATATATCAAAAAGACATCCTACATTTTATATAAATCGGTTCGGTAATTTTTTTATTCTCCATACACAAACCGATATTTTCGGTTTTTCAAAAAATAATTACTGTATATGTAGTTTTAAGTCGGGACGGTACATATCGGCTCGGTTTTTTCGGTTTTCAGTTCGATTTTTGGTTTCTCGGTGTTTTTGCTCACCCCTATAATCTAGCGCTATTATTTGGGATACGAACGTATTAGATTGTTTGTGGAATCCCCAAAATACCCCTTAGTTTTACACTAGTTTGTTGCCATACATAATTCGGTACATAGTAAATTACCTTGTATATATATAAAAATATATATATATATATATATTACACTAATATTTCGTCTTTGGAGGTGGTGGAATCTGATAGTACAACATCCCTACATCCAGCCATAGATCTTTTACAGAGCTATATTCTTTCTTCTCCCTAAAAAAAGAAAATATTAAAAAAAAAAGTTTAAAAAAAAAAAAATTAATTCTCCGATTTCTTTCACCCCCGCGAAATCGGCCCCCATCTTCATCATCATAGTGTAAGAACAACACAACCATGTTCAAATCTCCAGAACTCCCAGACTGCGTCTACAAGAACCTGCCCGTGTTCGTCTGCCCGAGCTGCCCGACTCCGAATCACACCGTCCATCTCTCAAACCTCGACGATCAGAAGTTCCTCAGATTCTCCATCAAATATCTCTACATTTTCGAAAAATCCGTCGCCGCGGAAACACTCAAGGACGCGCTGTCGAGGGTTCTGGTTCACTACTACCCTTTCGCGGGGAGAGTGAGGGCACGCGCCGCCGCGAGCGGCGACCGGAAGCTCGAAATCGACTGCAACGGCGAGGGCGCTGTTTTCGCGGAAGCTGACGTGGATTTGAGCGTGGAGGAGTTTGTTGAGTTTGCGAAGAAGCCAAACAGGTCCTTGAGGAAGCTAATGTACAGAGTTGACGCCCCTGGTTTCTTGGATATTCCACCTCTCGTTATTCAGGTCAGCTTTTTTAATATAACTATCTTTTTTTTTTTAAGTTTAAATAATTATTGTATTATTTTTTAAATTCATGAAAAATAAAATATAAAATATTACCAACAAATTAAGATGATAAAGTTAATTTTGTGACTTGGATGGTGTTAAAGTGTGAGACTTATTTCATGTTTTGTTTAAGAGAGGTTATGGAAAAAGACTTATTTCATGCTTTAAATTGAATTTTTTTTTTTGCTTCTAGAAATTGCAAGTATACCCTTTCATTTATATTTACTAAAAAGGGTAAATTACAGACACCCATGAGGTGTGGTCAAATTACGAAAAAACCCCTCATATTTGGATAATCACAACTACGTACCTCGCTCGACTATGAATCTTCTTACACGTCCACCCTTATGGTGTGAAATTCTACATAGTCTTCTAGATTCTATGGAATGTTCTCTAGTTTGTATTCGTTTTGTGCAAAAATGGAGTTTCTGACGCACCATAGTCTGATATTTACAAGCCAAAAAACACATCTTATGATCATCTTGCTTCAAAATGTGGAGCTCGAATGGGATAAAACAGGTCGAATGGGATAAAACGGATACAAAATTGAGAATATTCCATATTATTTAGAAGATTTTACTAAATTTGACACCCCAAGGGTGAATCGAACGTGTAAAAAAATTTATAGTTTAGAAGAGTGGTTGTAATTATCCAAATAAGAGAGATTTTTCCATAATTAGACCATACATCAGGGGTGGTTGTAATTTACGCAAATAAAAATCAAGATGTTTCTTGCCATAATACAATTGATCAAGAGATCTCTATATATTATTATATTTACTCCGACAAAAAAAATCTCTAATATTAATGGTCAAAACTTTATTTAAATCCTAAAGTACTAAAATACAGCATCTAAGTGGTCTAGTTGGTGAAGTTAAAGAGTGCAACGCAACGAATTCCGCCTATTAAAATTAAACTCGCCCAACGTAGTTATACATCTATATCGAGAGCGAATTGGAAAGGAGAAACGAAATTTATATATATAATAATCAAAATAAAAACAATAATCCAATAAATATGAATTTGCAGAAATTGAAAAAAAAAATATTTGAAAAATGAGCTTTCTCTTTCAATCATATTCCGGGTGGTGACATTACATAGACAACATGTGTTGGTTCCCCCGGCCTCTGACCGTTGGCATCTACTCCTCCCACCCACAATTATATATTCCCCAAACATACCTTTTTCTTTTTTACACCCCTTTATTTATTTATTTATTATTTATTATTTATTATTTTAATTAAAAGTTATTATCAATCACGAATATTGACCCCCCACCCTTTTTACTGTTGACTCACAGGTCACAAATCTCCGATGTGGAGGAATGATTCTCTGCACCGCAATCAATCACTGTGTTTGCGATGGGATTGGCTCCTCGCAATTTTTACATGCTTGGGCCCACCTATGCCAATCAAATTCCACTAATATTCCAATCCAGCCATTCCACTCTCGCCACGTGTTGGGACCCCGCATCCCACCACAAGTGACTTTCCCACACCCAGAATTCACCACGACGGAAAATAGTAATTCACAAACTGGCCCCAATATTTACAGCTATTTGCAGTCACAGCCCCTAATCCCTTCGTCGATTACATTTTCGCCCACCCAGATCCTCCACCTGAAAAGACAATGCGGCCCCTCGCTAAAATGCACCACCTTCGAGGCGCTGGCCTCGCACACGTGGCGCTGCTGGGTTAAGTCCCTCGGCCTCCCGCTCTCCGTCACCGTTAAACTCCTCTTCTCCGTCAGTTTCAGAAGCCGGCCGTTAAATCCTTTGCCGCAGGGCTACTACGGGAACGGATTCGTGCTAGCGTGCGCCGAGGCGAAGGTTAAGGAACTGGTGGCGGCGCCGCCGCCGCATAACCTGCACCACGGCGTGAGATTAGTGCAGCGCGCGAAATCGACGGTGGCGATCGACGGTTATGTCCAGTCCGTCGTCGATTTGTTGGAGGATGAGAGCGTGAGGACCGATCTCTCGGCGAGTTTGGTGATTTCGCAGTGGTCGAAATTAGGGCTTGAGGAATTGGATTTTGGGGGAGGGAAGCCAGTTCATATGGGGCCGTTGACCAGCGACGTGTATTGCTTGTTCTTGCCGGTGGTCGGAGATTCCGACGGTGTGAAGGTGCTGGTGTCGATGCCGGAGAGCGTCGTCGGAAAATTTGAGTTCTACATGACGGAGTTTTCTGGAGTTGTTGAGAATGCCGGCGATGCGAAGAATCATTATGGGGTGGATAATTTGAAAATTATTTCTGTTTAATTTGAGTATTTGTGCTTTATTTATTTGTGGTTTTTGAAAAATATTATTGGTGCTGATAAAACAGTTAATTAAGATTGTCTCTTTAAAAAAAAAACTAATTCTAGAAAAAAATTTCAATTTTTGAATATTGAAACGAATAAGTTGTTCCAAAATTAAAACTTTTTAAATCGAATCACTGGGATTAAAAAAAATACATTTTTTATCATATGTAATACAAAAAAACCGGGAAGCAGAACTTCGGCGTTCGGAAAAAAAAATCACGAAAACAAAAATTCTGATTAAAATCGTCGGAATTTGAGATTTTTATTTCAATTTTCATCCCTAGTTGATATGCCAAATGTGACATGCATAGAGAATTAGTGTTTTTTTTTATATATTAATAAAAGAAAAATCTTATCAGCTGTATTACATAATGATATGTTTGGATAACATTAAAGAATGGACATTAATAATAATGGTGATTATTATTAATTTATTTAGTATAGCCACCATAAAAGAACAATTAATTTATATACTTTATTTAAAATAATTAATATTCTTTTATATTTATATAATCATAAATGTGCAATTTAACAAAACCAAATTGGGAAAACTTATCATTAGCACCAAAATAGATAATATATTTTTTTCAGGTTAGTGCCCTTTACTCCACTCAGATATAATAAGAAGGAAAGATAAAGCATATTAAATGATGATAGTTTTGAGTATTTGAGCAAATAATAATCATATAAATTATCAGACTAGTTGATATTTATTTTAATGAATATATACATGTTTTCATATATATATTTTATTTTAGCTCACCACTCATTAGCCTATCAAGAGCACCATTTTTCACTACGAAGGAATTCAAGTAATCGAATATTTCTTACTGCAATTATTAACCATTTTGTTCATTAGTTTCGACACGACACCTCTCAAGTGCTTCTCGAACAGCCCTAAACGCGTCTTCGTCTTGAGAAGTAGTACTTTCGTCTACATTCATCATTCACGACTTCATTCATATAGGTTTTTGTTTCATGCGCCACACCGGCTCTATTTAAGATCGTTCATATGGGTTTCTTATCCTCCGCCACACCATCCATTGAACCCTAGCCCTATGTTGTTTCGTTCGCATTTTGATGTTTACGTTCTTAATTCTTTGTTATCTTAGTATAGAAATTACATTTGTGATTTTTTGTCATTACTAAAATGGATAGCGAAGACTGATGAGGGTTTGTTGGCTCACCATAGAAATGTATTGAATGTATTGTGTATTCTTGGTGTTTTGGTGTGTGCGTTTTTCTTATCGAGAAAGAGTGTGTTTCCTCTATTCTCTCTGTGGCCGGCCTCTTTCTCGAGTCCCCTTTCTTTCCCCTTATCCGTTTTTTTTCTTGTCTTGAAATGTGTGTCCGTGAGAGAGAAAGGTTCGGGCCTGGCCGAAAGGAAGAGAAAATGGGGATGGTTGGTGGGCTTGGGCCTCATTTATGGCCCATTTGCTTTATGATTTGGGCTCGGGTCAAATTAGCCCAGATCAACTATTCCTCCGAGTTCGTTGCGAGTGATGTGAAACTAGTAGTTGGGGTGAGTTGAGTATTCTAAATGCTTGGTGTGGTGAAAAAAATGAATCTCCTACTCCCCCGAATTCGTCGCGAGTAGTGTGAAGTAATTAGTTTGGGCGAACTAATCGCATGAAATGCTCGTTACTTGAATATTAAGATATGTTTTGTCTTTGTTTTGCGCTAGGCCAATACTGGCTTTTGTTTGTTGAGAGGCCATCTCAAACGAAGGTTTGTGATTGGTCTGGGGTCGATCCTACCCCGACTTTTAATCAACACGGCCGATACCGGTCGCGGTCTTCGTTTCCATCTTTTTGGTAACGCGGCCGATACCGGCCGCGGTCTTCGTTTCCATCATTTCGGTAACGCGGCCGATCCCGGCTGCGGTCTTCGTTTCCATCATTTCGGTAATGCGCCCGATCCCGGCCGCGATCTTCGTTTCCATCATTTCAGCAACGCAGCCGATCACGGCCGCGGTCTTCGTTTCCTGTGAGAAACCAGATACCAAAATCTTGCCTACAATGTTAGAAAATGAAAAACTCTACAACTTTGATAATAAGTGCAGTGGAGACGAAAAGATTGTGGACGGAAGTAAATCCAGTGCATTGCATGTATCGGGCAATAATAATAATAGCTAGATAGACGTAAAATCTATTTCGAAAATGGCAAATGGTAACTTAAATGGTCCTACAATTGAAGCAAATCATAATGAGTCTTCTTGGAAGACAAATATCCCTGTTTTGGATGCTCGAGATACTTTATCTCGGGTTTGGCAACTCTGGGAATTTGTACTTCCTCAATATAACATTGCAGGCTAGGCCCTTTTAGCATGTTCCCCGTAAGCCAGTAACATTCCGAATGTCGGTTATCCAATATTAGATACATTTGTTGTGTTTGTCGGTGAATTTGAATTGGTCGGCGGGCCCAACCTAAAGCAGAAAGATGGTAGACCATTTAGACCTTCCATGTTTAAAGGGATGTTGATAAAATTTACTCCCGATGTACCGAATAGCATTTGAGGCAGACATAGGTTCAATTTTTTTAAACCCATCTGCCGCGTGCAAAACCTAAACCTAAACTAAAAATACATAAAAATCAAGAAGAATCAAAAAGGTAAGAAAATAAAAATCACATCAACATGTCCACACAACTCTCTCCAAACACAATTATAATTCCTTTTTGTTATAAATAAATTAAATTGGTCAATGTTTCATCTTGAGGGCAAGCTTTTGTTGTTTCTTCTCTTATTCAATCTTCTCTCACATCTCCTATAATAATAAATCTCCTCATAAACCCTTAATTGCTTCTTTCCACAGACGGCGTTCATTTGATGGGGTTCGTTGGCATCATAGAAATGTATTAAATGTATTGCGTGTTTTTAGTGCTTGGTGTGTGTTCTTGGTGTTTTGGGTTCGGGTCAAATTAGCCCAGATCAAAGACCAATGGACAAAATGAATTGTGCACTAGGTAGTTTTAGTAAGCATTTGTGATTCTTAGTACACATCTTTTTGGTTTCTTTAAATTTTATAAAAGAGCTCTAGCATGTTACTTTTTAGTTCAGATTATTATCAGATAATACAAATACTGAGAAAGAATATTAATATATATATCATTTTTTTCTTTTAATGTGATAATTTTGATTAACGTCTAGAAGAGTTTCTCTAGATTTTTCAAAATATTCATGCAAAATGTGTACAAGTGAGAGGCTTTTAATCAGTCTCTAGAATGTTAGTATAAATACAACTGAAAGGTGATTTTGTCCTAGTTCATAAATATTCAATACATAATCTAGTAGATATTTATAGCAAAAAGTTCTAGGGAATTCTTGAACATTTCCACAAATTGGTGGATATATATTTTTTTTCCTTTTCTGTAACAATAAAAAAATTATAATTAATCATATATGTGCATTTAGTAAATTTTATTTTTGTGCAATATTTTGCAAATCACACTATTGAGTAAACTACAATAGACATAAATTATGTGCGACAAAATCTCTTAAATACATCCCAAACATGTTGATTTTGGAATGCTACGAGTTAAATTATCATTTTCAAGAAACAAATCTTGCTCCATGGAAGAGGTAAAATTTAGTCCACATGTTCAAAATCAAAATGAAAAATGCTATGTATAACATTTACTATTCACAAATTGTAATAGAAAATATACTAAACTAGTAGATCAACAATGATTGATAGTAAGTGAAAAGTAGATGATAAATAATTAAAAAAAACAATAAGTTATTATTGAATAGTAAAATTTAGATAACATAGTTGGAGGAATATGCTAAAATTGACTTGCTAAACTAATTTCATTAACTAAAATAACATTTATAAGTCATTTTTAGCATTCGTGGTTGAAGATGCTCTAAAGGAAGTTTAAGATATATATTTTTTTTTTTTTAGGGAAAAGAAAATTTCATTAGGCATTAATAGCCAAATTATGAGGAATATGAATTACATCACTACAGTTTAAGATATTGATACTCCAACATAGCGCATAAAGTAAAAACAAATTTTAATATTTATTATTTTACACTAAATAAGGTATAATATATATCATTATTGGAATATATTTTTGGAAAAAAATCGGAATTGCCCAAATTCATTTCTAAAATCAAATTAGATCGGAAATTGGAAGCTCCAAATAATTTTTATATAATTCCAATTTCAATCCAAGAAAATCGAAAAATATCGAAAAAAATCAGAACGAAAAAAGTTGTTCCAAGATTGAAACTTTTCGGAACAAAATTGATGGAAATTAAAAATTATCTTCCAACATTCACCCCTATAGCTACTTATTATAAAAATATGAAGACTATTTGAAATTATTGCTGGAAAGTAGAAACACTTTCCCCAAAAAAAGTATTTAATAGAATAATACTTTTATGCCTATATTTTTTTAGAAGAATTTACTATGCATATTAACTTAGGAGAACGATTCCGTGATAACATAATTTTTATATACACATACACAGTAAATTGAATTATATACGTACTTTAATCCTTTTGCAAAGATGAATAAGAATGGAAAAAATGCAGTTTTTATTCCTCAAGTTTACATTGATTTCACATTTGACCCATTATGTTTACAAAAAATACATTTAGTTCCTCATATTTTAAAAATTCAATATTTTCAGTCAATTTTCAGTTAGTACTAACGGAATCAAGCGTGTGTCCATCCATCACTGAGAGTTAACGGTAGAATGACGAAAATAACAAAAAATGTTAAATTATTGAAACATGATTCTGTGAACATGAATGACTAAATATGAAACCGATGCAAACCTGAGGGGTAAAAAGAATAATTTCCCGAATAAGAATTATAATCCTAGTTAACTGTCTCCTCATGTAATACCTATTGAATAGGTCAGAGTGCTTGATGAATTTGGGGAAGGTTGGAGTCGAAGATGTCGATCGAGGGTTGAGTTTTATGGAGACGTGTCATATTTGCTTGATTGATCCCGCCGTTGGAGCTCTGTTATCGGTTCTTCCTTGCGCCTGCGGCCATGCTTTTCATAACCATTGCATGGTCCAATGGTTGACGAAGAGCAATTCGTGCCCCTCGTGCTGTTTGCGATTTGATAGTAATTAATTTCCCGAGTCGAGTTCCTCATTTATTTATCGACTTTCCAATACCTTGTATTGAATTGATTCGAGATCGAGTTATTAAACTTTCACATCTCAAGCTTTCTTTTGTCCTCTCTAATGTATAATTATGAGATTTTATTTGTTCCAACTTGCAAAAATTTGGACGTATCAAACTAAAGTTAAATTAACTGATAATTAATTCTATGTATATAAGCTATATTTAGTACTGCTGCGGTACACGAATAAAACAATAAATAAGCATAGAGAATAGTATATTAAGCCCAAGCCCATTAGTTATAATGTTAGGCCCCGGATTTTTATTTTATTTTTTAATAATGTATTTATGTATTAGTTAATTCACTTTTCCCCAAATTTTCAATTTTATACACTTTTAGTCTATAAAAACAAAATAAAAAAAAAATCATCTCTTAATTCACCCTATATTCTAGCCCCAACAAAAAACCCCTGGTTAGGAGCCGTTTACTTCGACTGGGATGAGAACCACTGATCAAAATTGTGCCTTTCTCCAATATAAATTGTTTGCTATGATTTTTTAGTTGCGGTTTATTAATTTAGCTAAATATTATGTGAAAACACTCAAAACTAAAAAAAAATGTACTCGAAATAATTCTAAAGTTAAATAAGTTTAATCGAAACAAGTGTTTTGTATAATCAACTTAATATTATCTAATAAGTTAATGGAAACATGTTCTTATTTCTTTTTGTCAATGTTCGAAACAGGTTCTTTTTTCTTTTCTTGCGATCATTACTTGTTAAATATTTTTATTTAATCTTAGTTTAAATTGTTTGTTTAGATATAATGGGAAGTTGCAACAAAGTGAAACCTTTTGTCAATGTCGAAACAGGTTCGATTAATTGTTAAATATCTTTATTTAATATTCTTTGTTTAGGCATAAGGGGAAGTTGCATGAAACATTTTGTCAAGAAGAAATATGATCAAGAACCAAATAAGAAAAGTCATCACGAAATAACTCAATTTGTTTGTTTGTCTTTGACCTTGTAATGGATTACACATGTCTTGTTGTTGTGGCGCGTAGAGTTGACTATGCTTAAGCTTCCCCATAAGTGTAAAATAATATTTCCTAAAGACAAGTATTATTATGACGAGTAGAGTTGACTATGCTTAAGCTTCCCCATAAGTGTAAAATAATGTTTACTAAAGGCAAGGATTACCCTACCGACCTTGAACTTGTCATTTGCATATTACGAGTAAGTATATTTCTTTTTTTTAATGAATTAAGGAGCATAATATATAGATTGAATGTCTCCATTATTTTATGTCACATTCAGGAGTGGGAGATTTATTTTCTCAATCAAAATTGCTCCAAGTTATCCTTATACAGAACCAATTGTTAAATGTATGACAAAGGTATGAGAAATTAAAGTATTTTTTGTGAGGTTGAATTATTTAACTAAAGCCATTTGCCAAATATTATTTTTAAGAGTTTTAGCATGTTATTTTTTAGTTCAGAGTAGTATGAGATAATACAAATACTGAGAAAGAATATTAACATATATATTATTTCTCTCTTTTAATGAACGATGGTGATAGTTTTGATTAAGGTTTGGAAGAGTTTCTCTAGAGTTTTCAAAGTATTCATGCGAAATGTGTACCAGTGAAAGGCTTTTAACTAGTCTTTAAAATGTTAGTATTGTTGGGAAAATTGGTTAAAAATTGAGTCATGAACAATTTTTTATCAATGTTATTGTACGGTCTAATTGAGTATATAAATGAATTTTGGATTAGAACCAATTTTATGATGAATGAAAAAATTACTAGTCCAAAATATAAGGAAAGTGGGATTTTGAGTTATCCCACATTGGAAAAGTAGAGAAGTACTGAGTTGTATATATATCAAAATATTGGGACAAAGGGTCATGCCCTTTGGGCATTCAACTTTGTTTGGGAGAAAGGCCTATATGTTATGTGTTTCAAATCGGATTTGGATTTGGGCTCGAGCCCAAGTCACGAGCCCAAATCTCTACATAAATTTTTTGGGCCAAAAACATTAGGTCATGGGCTTTTAACCCATTGGGCCCTTATTACTCAAAGTCCATCTCGATTGGTCTGACTGGTCTGAATTGGTGCGGCCGAACAAATGCAAACCATTCGGCTCAACTCGAAATGGTGCAACCATTCAAACAAAAGGTACCTTTTTGCTCCAAAGGACACTACTTTTCGAACCTTATAAATAGATCATAACTTTCCCAAAATTCCTCACTTCAATCCAAAATAAGCCTACTACATATTAAGCCTACCCTTCACAAATTCTCTCGAAAAGTTCTACACAAAGTACAGTTCGTCGTACTTGGGATTTGGAGTGCTCCTATTCCAAGTTTTGTCGTTGTATCTTGGGAGACGATTTCCATTTAATCCGTTAGCACCGTTGCGGGGAAATTTCGTCTTAAGGACAGAGTCAACTCGCCTCGACTAATCTTTTCGTATTTTCACTAATTAATTTGTTCAACCAATTTACTAAATTCACTACCCGTTTTATGTATCGGGAACAGCAAGTATAAATACAACTGAAGAGTAACTTTGTCGTAATTCATAAATATACAATACATAATCTAGTAGATATTTATGACGAAAAGTTCTAGGGAATTCTTGAACATTTTTACAAATTGGTGTATATATTTTTTTTCCTTTTTTATAACAATAAAAAAAATTATTAATTACATTTGCATTTAGTAGTTAATTAATTAATATATTTACCAGCGGCCGAGTTTTTCATTTATTTATCTAACTTTCGATATCTTGTATGTATTGAATTGATTCGAGTTATTTAACTTTCACTATTTCAAGTTTTCTTTTGTAATGTGTTGTGTAGTTATTTCGACATCTTACCTAGTTATTGCATGTCTTACCTAGTTATTGGAAAATTGCAATTAGAATTTGTGTGGGCTACAATCAAGACCTAGGAACATAGTACGTCATGTTCCGAAAAAAAACTTCGTTTTCGTAATGATTTTTATTCGCTTGAAGAGGGTGTGCGTGTGTTTTTCCTTCTTTTTTTCACCATTGTTTGATTGGCCACAACCAAGTTGACGTTTTGGGGCTCGGTATGAGCCGGAGTAGTGGCAAAAACCCAGTTTCCGTTTCCATTAATCAACATTCGTCCCAATTCGGTGCATCAAATTATGCCTGCAAAAGTTTCTTTTACAACCAGGAAGAATGTGAACGTTGTTTTCATTTGTTCTTGTGGTTCAAGTTTCACAGATTAGGGGCTTAATAATCTATTTTCTTGTGGCACTTAGTGAGATTAAATGAAATTAGATATTGCATTAACTTTTGTTTCAACTACACGTAGGACTATCTAGGGGCGGTAAACGAGCCGAGTTGACTCGTGAGCTCGATGATCCGGCTTGAAAAAAGCTCGAACTTGAACTCGAGTTTTCGAGCTCGCGGACTCGAGCTTGTATTTAGTTGTTCGTGAGCTCACGAGCCGACTCGCAAACCTTATTTTTTAATTTTTATATATTATTTTTTAAAATAATATAAAATATTATAGAAATAATATAAAAAAAACATATAACGTGAAAATCTATATATAATTAAGTTAATTTTGTAAATTTTTTATTATAATCTAAATATTTTTTATAATTAAAATTAATAATAATACTAAAATAAATATAAGCTTGGGCTTGAACTCGAACTCTAGAAAAAAAAAATAACTCAACAAACTTGTAATCTAAAATATAAGTCTAGTTACAATCTCACTAAAACTCGTAATCTAAAATATAACTCTTTAATAAGAGAATCTTAATTATAAATATTTGGTTTATTTATTTTATAGGATAAATTACAACCACCAACCTGAGGTATGGTCAATTTATGAAAAAACTTCTCTTGTTTGGATAATAACATCTATCCCTCAACTATGATTTTTTCTTACACTTCCACCCTTATGGTGTTAAATTCAACATAACCATCTAGATTTCGGGGAATGTGCTCTAGTTTGTACTCGTTTTGTGTAAAAATACAGTTTCTGATGCACCACAATCTCATATTTATAAGCCAAAAAATACATATTATGATCATCTTGCTTCAAAATGTAAAGTTCGAATGGGATAAAACGGATACAAAAGTGATAATATTCCATATAATCTCTAAGATTCTACTAAATTTGAAACCGCAAGGGTGGACGTGTAAGAAGATTTATAGTTGAGGGGTGGTTGTAATTATCCAAATAAAAGGGGGGTTTCGGAATTTGACCATACCTCAGGGTGATTGTAATTTACCCTATTTTATATATTTTTTATATTTATGACCAACAGCTAATTCATTAATAATATATATTTCAAAAAGCCACGCCACATATGACATAAGTTCAAGTCTGATTAGGTTTCCCTGTTGTACGAAGGCGAAGGTTCCTTCATTAACGTTAAATTCCCCAAACCCCAATCTGTGAACACAGTCTTCATTAACAAGGAACAGCGTCAAATTCCCCAACCCTAATTTGTGAACATAGTCCTACTTCTTTCGTCTACTTCGTTCACCCCGATCCCTCGGTGTATTTTCGGATCAATTGAAGCGCAATTATCAATTTCGAGCACATCAATTTCCAGGTTTGTTTTTTTTTTTTTTTTTTTTTTTTTTTTTTTTTTTGTATTTGTCGAAGATCTTTTGTTGTTTATGCGAATTTTTAATTTTGGGGGAAATTATCTGATTGAATTGTACTTGATTTTCGGAATAAAAAAGGATATTCGATTTGATATGGATGAATTAAGATTGAGAGATTCGACTTTTTTTTGGGTATTGATTGGTTATGCATCTTCCCCAATTGATCGATAATCTGTTGGGTTTTTGCTGAATTTAGGTTTCAAATTTATTTTTTTTATTTTTATTTTTTTAAAATTTCCTGTACTTGTGACATTAGCTCTTATTATTGCTGTTGAGTCCCACTATGAAAGAGTTATGTGAATCTGATTGTTGATTTACTTGTCGAAAACCTTCAGATTGCAAAGAATCGCATCGGAGTTGTGGTTAGCGTCATTAACCATGGCGAGGCATATTCCTGGGAATATTCCTTCTCGTCGTGATGTTCTAGAAGAAGCAACTACCATACCTATTTCTTTCAAACCTAAATGGTACTTCACTAAAGAAGAAATAGACGAACATTCGCCGTCGAGAAAAGACGGGATCGATCGTGAATCTGAATCGAAGTTGAGGCACTTATACTGTTCCCATTTACAAGAACTTGGCATGCAGCTTAAAGTGTAAGCTTCAATAGTTTCTCTCACTTATTTGTTTATTGTAAACATATCGGGTTTCGTATCTTTATTCCTACTCTCGTATTTGTCTTCGAAAAATGAAAATAATGTCCTTTCTGAGAAAAAAAAATCTTAAATGATTGCATATACTCGTTTCCCCTTATATTTAAAAAAAAAAAAATCAATCTTTTTATTAATGCTTGCGATTTTGATTTTCAGACCTCAAGTTACAATAGCTACTGCAATGATGCTGTGCCATCGATTTTATATGCACCAGTCCCATGCAAAGAATCATTGGCAGGTATAAATAATTATCCTTTACTCGTTTCTTTTTGATGTTTCAGTTTCACAAAATATAGCTTCTTTCATATGTTTTATTCGGCTGTAGGGTTTCTTGTCTCGTCGTGTATGCGAAATTTTATAAAGTCATATCACTAATTGTACGAGCTTTCTTTTGAATTGAACTATATAAATGACGATAAAATTGTTGGCTCCCTTATGTTCGAAAACCCTAGAGAGTTTGAATTTCTATTTTTTTTTAATTTTTTTTTCATGCACGTGATGAAATATTGACTGTGACGGTTAAATTGCAGACAATTGCAAATGCTAGCATGTTTTTGGCATGCAAAGCAGAAGATACGCCACGTTGGCTAAAAGACAGAGACATAATTGTTGTCGCTTATGAATTAATGTACAGCTGGGACCCGTTAGCTCCGCAAAAGATCAAACAACGGGTACGAGAAACTTGGTTTCTTTTTATTATTTTGGCTTTTTACTAATTTGGTATTGTTCATCGCTTCTTATTTACTACTTACTATGTCTATAGGAAATTTACGATAGGCAGAAAGAATTGATTTTGCTGGGGGAGCAGCTGATTTTAGTTACCGTTGCATTTGATCTCAATATCGAACACCCTTACAAGCCACTTGTCGCCGCATTAAAGGCGTTGGAAATTACGCAAAAGGAAGTCTCGAAGGTTGCGTGGAATTTCGTGAATGACTGGTAAGTTGTATTTTCTTATCTAAATTATCATAATTATAATTATAAGTATAATATCTCTTATGTCGATTTCTTTCCTAATATTTAGGCTCCGTACAACACTGTGCTTGCAATACAAACCGCATTATATAGCAGCTGGCTCCGTTTTTCTTGCTGCCAAATTTAATAAAATAAAGTTGCCTTCTTCAAATGGGAAAGCGTGGTGGATGCAGTTTGATGTTTCGCCGAAACAATTAGAAGGTTCGTTTTTTATATGATCAATTTGCATTTTTTTCTTTCCATATTTGACTTGCTTGGCTCATAAATTACATGTTTTCTTGATTAGATTTATAATATCCTAATCAAATTGATATAAAAGGAGAAAATCTCATTGAAATCGGCACTTGTTCGAAACTTTGTGCAGTGGTCATTCAACAAATGCTTGGGGTATTAGAACAGGGTAGTGCGAATAGCAGAGCGAAACCCGTGCCTGTAAAGAGAAAATCCATCGGCTCTGGATTTAGCAATTCCAGTGGATCAACGGCCGTGCTAAATTCAAGCAATTGTTCGACGGAGACCGCTTCGAAATCCGCAGTTATTGTCAAATGCAGCAAAAATCAACCGAAATACGATGCTAACGACACCGCACAAACAACCGAGAATTGCGCGAGTGAATCGTGTAGTGCAAATAGTGGAGTGGAGGACTGTGATGCTGAGCCGATAAACGGGGACTTGGATCAGAAATCGGGCTGCAAGATTATATCCGTTACAGAAAAACGTCACAAAATTGATATTAGCAGTATTAAAGAGAGATTGAAGAGGAGGAAATTGAATAGAGTCGAAAATTTGGAATCAGGGGATAGCTCGAAAGTTGATGAAATAAACGGCGATGCTTGGATCGAAAGAGAGATAGAAAACGGCATCTGTTAATTTTATCGGAATTCGAAAAAGAAATCGGAATTAACATGGATTAATCGTGGCTCGTGTGACTGCACAGCTTGAGAAACCTTGAGCTGATGATTGATAAATATGATCTACTTCATTCGTTTTGTTGTGAGTACAATATCTGAATATTTTCTTTTATTATTTTTAATATATTGCAGGTTTTTTTTTTTTTTGTATATGTTGTAGTTTCTGGAATAGGGTAAATTACAACCACCTCCTTGAGGTAAAGTCAATTTACAAAAAAACCCCTCATTTTGTAGAATTTACATACAGCCCTACTGGAGTTTGTAAATTTCTTATATCCACCCCCTACAAAAGGGTGTTAATGTAGGAAATTTACATGTTTCAAGGGTAGATGTAATTATGAAAAAATGAGGGGGGGTTTTTGTAAATAAATCTTCTTTCAGGGGGACAGTTGTAATTTACCGGGCTGGAATAATGATGCACACTAAATATTACAGCGTAGCACTGTCGTAATATTTAACAAGTTGGGCCTAAATTCATGGAATTGCCCGATGCATATAGCCACGTGGAAAAGCCCATAAAGAAATTCATAAATAATTTTTTATTTTTTATTTTTTATTCCAGAGGCCAAGTGGGTCAAATTGCAGTCAAATATAAAATTCAGTCTGACGCCATGTTTTTATTTTCCCTTTTATTGATGAATGCCCAAAGCTCCTTTTGTTCAGACTTTAAAATCTACTAAAATGATATTTGTCACAATTATTACATTGGCAACTAATTAATTCTTTTTTCTTTTTTCTTTTATATAATTATGCAACTAATTAATTCATGCACATATTTCTTGTAGGTTCCAATGCTAATGTCAATGGCGGCAACGGTCGTCGTTTATTCTCGTCATTGTTGGAATCATGTGTTCGTATTTCTCAAGTAAGTTTGAAAATTATTTTATAGTATTTTTTATATTTTGTCCTTTTAAAAATACAGGCCAAGAAGAACTCGAATTCCTGACCTCTCAGTGTACCCGAATTATAGACATAAATATATATATGAGTATTAAGGCCGATCATCAGATAGTAGCTAACACATTAAGTGATTAAACGTATTGAGGTGGGTACGAACTAAAATCCTCCGATACTTAAGTCAAAGTTAATGAAACAAATATTAGAAAAATCAAGAAAATCTAGAATTTCAGGCGCTACCAGTTGTCACAGAACAAAGTCCCGAAAAATTTGCCTTGTTTTATTATTATTTTAGAAAAGAAAACATGTTGTGCATTCATGCGAAAACTTGTAATAGAAGAACAAGGGCAAAAGAGCCAAATTTTAGGGAAAGCTTTTTAATGTTTAAAGTTGGGGCTTCTAGGGATTAGAGTGCATGCCTAATATATTTATCTTTTGTAAGGGCACATAAGCTTATCTTCCCTTTTACGAGAGAATCGCTCTTTTCCGATTCAGACATTTTTTTTTCCCCTTTTGCCCCTTGCTTTTTATACATAGGTTAACTCCCACACATGGCTGCTGCAGATATATGTATGTATATATATATATATATATATATATATATATATATATATATATACATACAATGTTTGCAGATTCAACGAAATGTTGCATTTAAAGATTTTACGTATGAAATTCGACAACCTCTATAGGTTTCTAAAGCCATCTAACGACAAGTATCTCTATCGGAACCGATACTATCTGCTTTTTTGTTTTCCGCTTTAATAAAATGGTCCGTCGTTTATTTCTTGAAACATGATATGTAGATATACTTTTTTTTTATTTCCTGCACCACCGTAAATACGTGCTTTCCTTTGGGAGTGTGTATACGTGACATTTGATGGAAAGAAAGTATGTTCTTGTTAGGCAATGAATCATTTTATTTGTCATTTAATTTGTTTTTGCCATAAATCTATTAACTATACACATATATATATATAAAAGCTTAATAGAATCACTTTTTGTTGGGCAAAAAACTTGTAATAAATAGCAAGGCTGCAATTAGAACAATCCCCCCATAAATATTAAAGTTATTTCATTGTCTACTTTTCTTGATCATATTTAGCTTACATTATTGCATTGTGGGGTTTTATTTAGAACAATCGTCACCCGACTTCAATTTTTTTTTTAATAAAAACTCGTTTGATCTCGAACCCATATTTATGCTCGATGAAATATGTACAAGTCAAGCTATTATAAGAGAGATCGATTCGAATACTTATCAAACCAGGCTCAAACACAACTTTGAAAGCTCGATAAGAGTTCAAAACGAGTATTATATATTACACAATTTACGAAATTGTCGAGATGAGTGGAACGTCGGGAGATATGGGCCTAGTGTTGGATTTGCTAGGGTTATGGATTGAAGAAAGCATATTATTATAAATCTCATACTCCAATGGCTTCTTGTCTTCTTCTCAAACACCTTTTTAAATCCTTCATACTTTAAGACCTCCTTTTAAGGGTTTTGCCATATGTGTGCTACTTTAATTTAATCCTCTTTTTTTTTTTTTTTTTAATATATATTCATCCCACCAAATAATACTGCTTCAGTACCCTCTTAATTATATTATATATGTATCTATATATATTTTAATTTTTTTATTTATTTTTTTTATTTTTTTTTTAATTTTTGGTTTTAGTGAGTGGGTTGTGTTCCCCTTTGATTTAAGTGACAGAGAACGAACAGAAATTGGGGATGATAGCTAGCCTGGAAAAATTCTTTTCACCTGAATAAAAGAATATTTGCTTTTTACCTAAATGAAAATGAAATATAATGTTTTAAAGATTGTAGCTTTATATTTATCTACACAACCACAAAATAGACCTCATAAAGCCATGTTTTTGTATCTATATTTGTTAGTGTCACGTTTCGAAATCTATGTAAGCGCCCCACAACATTGACCTTGACCGTTTCTAATCAGTGTATTTCACCAGATTTAGCATAATAAATGCATAACTTATAAATTAAAGGGGGTGAAATTTCAAAAGACTCACTTTTGTGAAGATACCTAATGATTTAGAAGTGTACAATAAGTGGCTCAAAATTGAATTTAATTAATTCATCTATCAATAAAAAGGGCAATGCTGTAAAGTGGCAAGTGCCGTGGGGGGTTTGACTTCGAAGTTGACTGATTATGTCGTCTTACCAATAAAGAAAGTTAAATTAGCGAAATAAAATGGTCCCTAATATTCTTTTTTTTTTCTTTTCTTTTTCTTTTTGGTAAGGAATGAAGTCTCACTCTGTCGTGTTGTAACATTAGGTAAATTTCTACTCTCGTACAACAATTTGTAAACCACTCGAGAGTTATAAATCACACTAGGACTAAACAAATAAACTCGACCTAAAAAGTTGGCCAGATGATTTAATTTTGAGTTATTTAATGTGCTTTCTTGCTCCATCAACTATAAAATGGCGTCCTAATTTAGTTATGATATCAAATTGCATTAGTAGAGATTGATGAGTTTTTTTTTTCTTTTTTCTAAATAAATTAATTGGTCTTTCCCCAAAGGTTCAAAGAATATGCTCTTCCGACAGCTACTTTTATTAGTTATTAAATGAATTTTATATGTATAAAAATATATATATATATATATATATATATATATATATATATATATATATATATATATATATATATATATATATATATCCCTTTTGTTAAACTGTATTTCAGGCTAAAGTTGCAGGCCCTTTTTAGTTATAAAAACAATGGTTATATTGGTAATCATAACCTTTTCGTCTTAATTATGCGATTAAGCAATTTATATTCATCCGTGGGTCTATGATTCTTCTATGATTAATTGCTTTTTATTAGTAAAAAAGTGTATTAAAAGCAGTGGAAATTTTTAGGTTTATTTAATCAAAGCCATTATTTGAGGATATATATAATTATATACACATATATATACATTTAGGACTTCTTACACGTGCCCTATATAAGTTTTTTTTCTATCTATTCTCACTAATTTTTCACCGCATAAATACAGTTTTCATCCCTCAAGTTTGTATAGATTTCACATTTGGTCATCTATTTAATAAAAAACACATTGATCTCTCATGTTTCATAAATTCAACACTTTTAGTCTATTCTGTTAATTTTGTTAAAACTAACGAAATCAAGTGTGTCCCCATCACTGCTTTAACTGACGGACTAGCAGTAAATTGACGGAATGACCAAAAATGTTAAACTACTGAAACATGAGGGATCAAATGTGATATTTGTGCAAACTTTAGGGATTCAAGGCAACCCTAAGACCATCTCCAATGGAGATGGGGGTGGGTAGGGGTGGGGAGACAAAACTACCTCCAATGGAGGTGGGTAATAGGAGGGTGGGTGTTGGTTGGGTATGGGTGGGGAGAAGGGAGAGGGAGCTTTGCCTTGAGCTGCCCCCTTCCCAACCTCACGTGCTGATC